CGAAAAATCAATATCTAAGCAAAGTCCTGGGTTTGTTTTTACACTTGATGTAACTAATATGATGGCAAACAGATATCACAATGCGGACATAGTGAAGAAATGCAAATTTCACATGAAACTACTAAGAATAAAATCCACAAATTCTCGTAAAATTATAGGCCTACATAATAATAGAATGCATGGAACAGATATATAAGTGAACTTTTAAAGAATTCTTCTCTAACATAATTATTACAAATGCTATAGAAAAAAACTACCTTGTTGATATATAGGCTGGCAATACCAACCCTAAACAAGTATAGTAATATCTGTGTCTGTCGGCATTTTGACAATAAACTCCTAAGTGCATAGGCAAGAATAAGCTTGTAAAATTTCCGTTAACAACAAATGGCGATGAATAAAATATTTGTTTGGTCCAGTTCTTTGTTTAACAATGATGAAAAATATATATATAAAAACTGCAGTGTCTCTCTGGTTTCAGGTAAACAATAATATATTAATATAACAGTGTTTATATTGATTCCTATCTATACAGTAAATATGTATCCAACATGATATATGGATATAATCAAATAAATACATTCTTTTTCTTGCATGAGCTTAGTGTTTTAGCTGTGACGATTATTTAAACAATCTCGCTGTGTCTAGTTCTGTTTACATGTTATGTGATTGGCTAAAGAAACCTAAAGATTATGTATAGCACTCACTCCTTGGTTGAATTGCTCTACTAGAGCTCGCTGTTGGCTACCATTAGAACAAGTCGATTTACGATTTTAACAGCATATCCAAATTACCATTTCTTCATGAATCCCACTTTGCCATCACTGATAAAAGCAATAGTGAATAACCACTGGTAAATGCGTCACGATCTTATGTTAGTGAATCCGGCCCCAGGCCAGCATGCAACCCTCGCGCCATAGGTTCACCACCAGCCTTTAACAGTTCAGCTGGGATACCGTAAGTACCCACTGCTTTGCCACTCTTCACCTTGGAGACCAACCCCCTAACTTCAGTTAGATAGGGTGGATCCTCACTGATGGTTGGGTCCGGCAATAGAATCACGCCACTACCTTCATCCAAGTTAACTGTTGGTGGATCAACCTGGTACAACTGCTCAAAATACTCATCCCAACGCTCCCGCACCGCACAGGTCTGAGACGATCTGGCCACTTACTTAGTGAACCGCTGTCACCTGAGAAGAGGGCTTGGAGTTCAGCTTTCTCAGGGCTTGGCATGCAGGACGAAGGTCATTTAATAAGAAATGGCCTTCGACCTCTTCAGCAAGACTCCTAACAAACTGTTCCCTGTCCCTTCTTAACAAAGACCGAGTTCTACATACCTGAGAATGATGCAAATCCCGATCCCATGTCAGACGAGCCGCACGGCAAGTATTTCTGGCTTCCAGTGTCTACTATGAGATAAAATTCTGTATTGTCCTCATGCGTTCACCAATCGACATTTGGGCTGCATCAAGCGTTTCGCACTTACAGATTTCCCACAGAGACTGCCTCAGCAAACCCACAAGCACACTCCTCCTTCAGCCAGTCCAAATGAAACACCCTAGGGTGATGATTGTACCGTTAGGGAGTTTTGAAGTGGACCCGGTGGGTAGCCACAACCAATCTATGGTCAATACCACACTCCTATACACCCTGCACTTCTGAAGGATCCTCCGAGTGCTAACGAGTATGTGGTTAATCTCTTTGGCTGCATTACCCGCATCGCTGTACCATGTCCAACGATGTGGGTCTGGGCGCTGGTAACAGTAGCCAGAAATCCTCAATTTTTGGGACCTTGCAAAGTCCTGGAAAAGGATGCTATTCTCGCTGCCGGTATCAGTTCCTGAACCATGAGGACCGACAGACATCTCATAGCCAGCTCGATCACATCCAGATACCGCATTGAAGTCACCCAGAACAATATGAATATGCCACAGATGCCAGTTTGGTGTAGAACATCTCTTTCACGTCGAGTTTACAAACATCGGTAGGAGTGTACACAGCAATAAGAGACAGAAGGCCAAATACTAGCTTCAGTCTCAATACCATTATACGCTCATTGACTGGAGTAACCTCTACCACCGAGGGCTGGCGCCTACTGGAGATAACTATGGCTACTCCCTGAAGATGATGACCATCACTGCAGCCTGACCAGTAATAAGTGTAGCCACCTACACTGATCATGCTGCTGCCAGGTCTTCTCACCTCTGAGAGAGCAGCCAACCCAACTCTCAGCTTCCCCAGTTCCCTCGATAGTAGAGGTAACCGATCATCCTGACGCAAAGAGCAGATGTTCCAAGCCCCCACCCTGACTTCCCACCCGAGGTTCACCCTCAGGCAGTCACTCCGGATGGACGCCACCTCTGCCACCCCCACTGACCCTGCCTCCATATAAAAGGGGGCAGCGGGCTACAGGACCCATCATCCACCTGTGGGGTTCCCTAGGGCTTTGCCCCACAAGCTTCAT